GACGATATTCGCCTCGAAAGAAAAATTCCGTTTTTTTTCAAAGGGGTGTTTCACCCCTTAAACATGAGTTAGCGCACGTATAAAAAAATATGTATCTCTCTTAGATTTTCGTGTTTTACAATATATTTCATGGAGAATCAAATCGGTTCCGGACAGTTGTGAAACTTCCCTTGTGAGTGTGCAGGGTTGGGTTATCCGAGGATTTTCTAGGGTTTTTTACATTATACTGTATTATACTGTATTATACGATATTATTCCTAAAAAACCGTATAAAACGTATAAAACTCTAATTTATGGTCTACGACACTCTACGAGTGTCCAGAACGACTCCATGTTATCGATTTTTCTGAAATATCGATTTTTACCATTGCTGCGAAAATGATGCGGGACCCCCCAAACACTGGACGCTTACGGCGTTACGGCTATGATGCACGTAATTCAAAAATATAAATCGAAGTGATGTAACGCTCGAGACAGAACACGTACAAATCGCACGAGCGACCTCTCAAGACACTTACAACGCTCAGCTCTTAATTCTTTGTCTGTTCGCGAATTTTATATGCGAATTTTGGATCGATTTTTAGCGTGGATAATATAGAGATTGATAGAAATAATTAAATTACGCACATGATGTAGAGATGGCGCCACATGAAGTATAATACGTATAAAACTAAATGATGTATTATACTTGTATAATATCATGTATAATACTATGTAAGAAACCTCGTGTATAATACGTGCCCAACCCTGGCTGTGCACCCAGTTCTGGTAGTGAAAAACGCTAAAGGGCTTGCAACACTGTCGAATTATGTGCCCCGCCAATTTCAAATCATTCGGTATACAGGATATCAATCATGAAACCTTTATTCTTAGGATGGAAAGTGAAAAGTGAAAATTTTAACCATTGAAGTTAATGAAGAAATTTTTCACTTTTCATTTTCCATCCTAAGAACAAAGTTTTATGATTGATACCCGGGTGTGGATATAATAAGACAGTAAATAATGATTCTATAATTAATAAATTATAGAATGAAGGATAATAGTGTTTGAATCAGTTAAATCAATATTATTAATCGTAACCATTATATTTGACTAGAGAGGATGGAAGGGAGCCCACATGTACCTATATGTGAAAGAAAACACATAGTTGCTTTAAAAAAATATGTATGCAAAATGGATAATTTTTTAAATAAGCAACTATGTGTTTTCTTTCCACTAATTGATTCATCTCATTATTCTGTTCATAAAAGTATTAAGGTATGGTTATCAAAAAATTAATATATAGTTTACGAATTATTTAATATTTTATGTCAATATGTGCCACAATGAAATATAAAATATCTCGTAAACTATTGGTTTTTTTATATCGCTACCTTAATACTTTTATATGCAGAATAATTAGAGGAATCATATTATGTAAAAAAATTCATATAATTCCATTTAAAAAAATGATCATGACCTTCAAATAACCTTGAAAATCGAGTTCAAGGTCAAGGTCCTTGGCACCATTAGGTGACCCCCTCTGTCCCCTTCAACTTTTGTCTGGACCATTTTTCTCTATCTCGCTTAGATTCCGAGAAATTCAGGTGGATCGATTAAAATGGCCCACCGTGTATATGAGCTCGTAGTTGAGTGGAATTTATGGAGCTATTATTATATATTTTCTCTTGAATTATTAAGACTTAGAATAGAATAGAATATTTATTCGCTTCAGCATATATACAAGCTAAAAAGGGGTCTTAATTTTACAATTGTCCTTACTCACGATCATTCATCCATACTTTTCACACTATCTTAATTATTTGCTCAGCCTACTTCCTATCCTTATAATCAACTATCATTTATACACTAATACTTATATACATTTATACATATAGGTACTGCCTATATGTATATATAATTAAAATGATAACAAATGGATAAAAGATAATTATGTCTCGTTTTTGAATCAAATAATAGTTATGCGGCGCACGTGCATTTGTATGGCTCAAAAACTATACAACATAATGATATCTTCCATGAGAGAACAAATTGATATCATTTAGCATATCATAAAAATAAAAATTTCAAGAAATCTTTGAAATAACATATCTTAAAGAAAAATAATAATAACACAATCCGTAAAGGCCATACGAGTCACGGGCTGATGAAGGTGCCAACGATTAATTTCAATCTTAATTAATCATTAATGTGTAGAATCCTCTTTATTGAACGTTTCGACTCACTTTGGAGTCCTCCTCAGCAATACATATGTGTAATTAATACGTTGAGTATTCCGTCAACATGAGTCACTTACAGGTTCCCGACTGTAATGGATCCTGATTGAAATATCAAAATTAAATTGATTTATCAAAGGAAAAAAAAAATCTAAGTAACTCACCTCAAACGGAACATTCAACA